CTGTCTTTACAATGCCTATTAGCCTTTCTTGACTTTCCTCGTCCCTGTCTCTTATTAAAAGATAGTGGCCGTAACGCTTTGACTATCCATGGGAACGGTTAGAGCACGGATGATTGCCATTGTATTCCTGCCCTATATACTAAGTTTCCAAGCCAGCCCTAAATTCGTATATTTTCCTACCAAAGGCACTTTAGAACACCTCGAAGCATCTACTTACATAACAAGGTTGGTTTCAGTTGGATCCCCATCTTCTTCTCTAAGTTTTCAACTGGATTTCTCACTTTTGAGGTATTTCTTTTTTCACAATGACTTGATTCTTGCAGAACTTTCAAGCGGGTGTGTCTAATGATCCAGGTGTGCCTAATGATCCAGGCCTCTCTCTCATGATAGGCATTCTCACTAATCAAGAAAGAATAGAGATTAATTCATATAATTCAAGACTATTGCACAATCCTCCTTTGAATTAGACTATGACACAAAGCAAGTAGCCGGTAACTCAGATTTACTGCTTCTCTTGCACACCCACAATAGGGCGGCCTTACCCTCCTATAACTATGACAGGGCTTTCTTAGGAAAGCAACCCGGGAAAAGAAGAAAGCTGCTTTTGACCACCGCCACCAGCCTTAAAGAAAAGGAGCCTTACCTGTCGCCAGGCAGGAGAACACTTTTATTCATTCCATCGGAGTCAAAGAAAGGAGAATGAGAAAGATGAATTAGAGGGACCCTTTGCTTGCCAAGTCTTACGCCCTTACTTAGTATCGATATCATTGGAAAGAAAGAAGGAGAAAGTAAGTTAGCTACTTAACGTAGGTAGCCTGAACTACTGGTTCAAGTCAGCCCTTCAATCGGTGAGAGCCAGTTCTATTCATCCAGGAGCTCGTATGAGAGTTGCTCCATGCTGCTAAGATAAAGAGATAAGCTTTTATGCGAACGAAAGCTGCCTATGCTATAAGAATGGCCTTTACCGGTTGGTTAGGAATGCCGACTACACAAGCAAATAATTATGTGGCTTTCTACTTTTCTACTTGCTGTCTTGTCTGCTTCGCTTGAAATGAATGATTTGTTGCTTCAGCACAAGATAGATGAGATGAGGATTCCTTATTTGTTGAAGAGAATGGAAGCACTGTTCCTTTTATTGCCGATTGTGAATTGAGTGCTGCCACACATATATGAGAATTGAGTAAACCAACTCGAACCTCACTGTTAACTAACTCAAAAAAGCACTAGCGTGTAGTACCCCGGAAACAATCCGGACTATACCAAATCACTAACTAGTATGTAGTACCCCGGAAACAATAACTCTGCTTGCTTGCTCTTGCACCGTTGCTTATTCCGAACCACGAGTTTCTGTTTTCATCCGTGTTAGCGCCGAGATCAGTATATCGATCAGACTCCGTATCCGCTGTAGGAGCTGTATAATAAGTATAAGGATAGGGATCTTCCGGCAGTATAATAAGTATAAGGATCGGGATCTTCCGCAGGAGTAGCATTTCTAGTTTTCGAATCTAATGGAACAGCTGGCAAGGTAAGAGGATTGAGCTGGCAAGGTAAGAGGATTGAGCTAGGCATGATAGATCTAGTTAACTACCGCACCATTTGAAGAATATGGGTTCCTTACGGCACCTCTGCATTTATAGTTTCAGAATCGAATGTCCGGGCACTGTCCTAGGCTTTCGCTCGATATTCTAGTACGGGTAGGGGTCCGACCTAGCACATTAGTAACTAAGAATTCCACAAATACACATACATATATGAATCAAACAAGCACAAATACACATATAAGAATGATCAATTTAGGTGATTGGGAACAAGCTGTAAGCTGGTAGAGCAGAGCCAAGCCAGTGAAATGTCATATGTGAGTTTTTAAGCAAAGGTCAGATGGGTTCAGCTTCAAAAGGGGATCTCGCTTACGGAGTTATGTCAATTCCAGTCTTCGGCATTAGAGGAGCTCACCAAACTCATTTCTTGTTTCGGCCCTCCTTATAGCCAACCATGGGCTCTTTCCTTGTCAAACATTTGTAGTTACTTGTTGGGTTGATAGCCCCGAGTCCGAACTCACACTCCACTTTTGGAATTGCTTGCTGCCTTTAACCGCTCCAGTTGTAACTAGATGATCTTCCCGATGAAACGATAACTTCATTAGATGAAGAAACACCTGTAGACAAAGATCTCCGGGAACTCTACCTAGACTGAACTGACTCAAACAAGAATCACATCACACCGATCCTACTCTTGAAACAAAAACTCCTATCGTGGTCAGGTGGTTTTTCATTTGAATGGAATCTTTCTCTTGCCGTTAGCGCACCTAAACTATATTACACTGATGCTGTCCCCCTCCTGTTACGCATTGAGTCTTGCGCCGACAAACTCTGCAAGCACTTCCTTGCCAATACTAGATGATCTTCTTCCCTTAAGCGCATAGTGAGCTAAGCATTCTTTTGATTCTGATTCGGCGCTGCTTCTGATCTTGAAATGAGGATCTTGCTCATTCCCTTGCTGGTTCCGCGTTTCGAACTAGGGTGCCAAACTCTATTACTCGGTTAAAGTAAAGGAAGAGAAAGCCAATAACAGAGAACTTGACTTCAAAGGAAGGGTGGTCTCCATTTAGTGTCAGTGAGGATGAGGATGAGGATACAGGCGCAAAGAGGTAAGCAGCAGACAAGCAGACAAGCGACTACTACAAAGGTATAAAGCAGGGGCTGGTTAAAGGGAAGCGGGGGCAGTGTGAGGTCACTTTCATTTAGGAGTGGAGTTCTTAAAGCCAAAGTGCCCTAGTGAAGTCCGCCTTTGATTATTGATTTCTTTTCTTTCTATATTGATTGATTTCTTTAGTCAATATTCTTATATCATATATATGCGACTGGGTTGGACCATCTAAAGGTTGGCGTTAGCCAATAACGGAAAGGTAAAGGAATAGCTGCTGGGCTAGCATTATTTAGTCGGACAGAAAGAATTAGGCTAACCTTGTAACTTACATGAGTTCGCCGGAGCAAGTCCGAGTTTGTAGAGTTCGAATAACAAGTAATAAGTATGGAAACCCTCATGGAAGTTAATGCGCTCGAAGTAAAGTAGAAGGAAATTGAGACCGAAGATCATCTCTGTTCTCATGCCCACGTAGACTAGACGTAGCGGTGTGTGAAGCATCTCCGTACTTTGATCTTGACTTTTCTCCTATAGCCGGGTAGAAGGAAATTGATACCCCGGAAACAGAAAGTAAAAAGCAAATAATTGAAGTAACAGGGTATAGAAAGGAATAAAGACAATACTTCCCTTTTGAATTGCCGAACTCCACTTTAAGTACCGCCGCAACCGTAATATTGGGCAACACAACACTCTAACCAGCGAGCTGCGAGTCAACCATTCCATTCTAATAGAAAAGCGCCTATTGCTAGATTGCTTTCTGCTGGATTGCCTCTCTTCTCTACGACTTTGGCCAAGAACCTGAACCTACCTTTGCTTGCAAAAGCTTCAAGAAAAGAAGATTGATTTGCTTTCTCGCCTTTCAAGTCTCGCCCGGAAAGTCAACTAATCTGACTCCTTCGCCACCCCACCCGGATACAAAGTATACAATCGGTTAAGAAAGAAAAGTGGAGGTCGATAACTCCTCTGCTGCAATCCTTTAACCCCTCTTTGAAACTTGGAGAATAGCCTTCTTGGTCCGTTGCTGGAACTCTACAATGTTCCTATGGAATTGAACTACAGGCCTGTAGCAGCCGTGGATAGTGCTGGACAAAGCACAGTAACCAAAGAGCATAGGTAGCGAGTCGTTTGCGGGGTGCGTGCGTAAGCGAGTTCACCGTTTGCACTCAATGCTGTTTTGCCTCTATTCTCACTTTCATTAAAGGAAGCACTGCTGTTTGTTGTTTCCACTATTCTCTTTGCTGAATGCGAGATTCTATACTTTTGCTGCACTATCTTCTTTCTATTCTAAGAGTAAGCTTTGAGGTTAACGCTACGTAGGGTAATAGTTGGAATAAGTGAGTTTACGTTCATACTATCTATCTATCTTATCTATATGAGTGACATTCTTTTCACCGTAGACAAAGTAAGTAAGCGAAGCGCATCTGTCCTGAACTTCCGTAGAGTATATTTCGAGTGTTTGCCGTATAGAACATAGAGGTAGAGACAATGTTGCGCTAACATAATTGAGTGTTGAGTTGTGCGGTCAGTGAACAGCTTTAGGACATTCCATTTTGATGTCAGTTGAGTTCGCCAGCCAACACCACTTATTTAATGCAAGTTGAGTTTAGTATAGATAGAAGAATATTATTTGAGTAAGAAGAGGCTTAGCTCCCCATGAAGAAAGGACTTGCTCATTAACCTTAGGACTACTTGACTTTGGAACTCACTCCTACTGTTGCTTGGCCCCCGAAATCGGTCAATTCCGCCCAGTTAGTGCTCCCCTGCTTTCTTTAGTCGTCCAGGTCTGATCACTTCACATCAACTCAGCATAAAGCTAGATTAGAAACTTATGTGAGTGGCAAGTATCGGAAAGAAGAACCCCATGGCATAATAATCAGGCATTAGATGGAGTCGGCTCTCCGCCGGTATCTTTGTTTGGTGTCTGGTCCTTCACACGATGAGTCAGTGTCTCCCAACGCAGCGACAGAAGCGTTACGAGTTGTCTGTCCTCTGAAAAGATATACGATGTCTGCTAACCGAAAAGATATACGATCGATGTCTGCTAACCTTCCTGTTATAGGCATACTTATTGCCTGATCGGGTGCATTTCACGCTTCTACGATTGAGTCAGAAACTTCTTTAACCTGATCGTGTTTCGAATTACGTTACGCCCTTCAAGGCACTCATAACTCTTCGAGGCCGTATTTACTTGTTTCGGAAATAGCTGCATCGCCCGCCCGCTTTCGAATTCTCTGATTTCTGTCCCGGACCAACCGAAAGATCCCCTCATCTGCTTCGAAAAGAAAACAAGGTGCTGAAAGCCTCGCCTCATCTGTGTTCGGCTTCAAAAGACTCAATATTGTTTTAGCTTAGTGGGACTTATCTTATCTAGCTGTTCAAGAGTCTCTGCCTGGGCCTCTGTTTAAAAGTAAGGACCAGTGACATATACAGTGTTTCTTTCCAAAAGAATATCAACTTAGTAGTAGTAGCTTGGAGAGGTATAGATTCCTGCTTGTTGTTCCCCCTTTCGTTCTTACAGTATTACCTTATTATGTCCAAAAAGTCTTTCCTCTTAAGGCAAAGAAAGGGCTTTCCTCAAAATGCCTAGCTTTCTCTCCCTGCTTTTCTTAGTCTACTTTCTCTCCCTGCTTTTCTTAGTCTATCTTATAGTCTAGCTTGCACTTTCACGGCTTTGCAACAAGAAATACTCCATAGCTGAGTTAATCCTGGGAATGGATTACCTACTCGGGCCGGTCTTATTCAAATAAACAGAGAAGGGCTGCTTCCTACTGCTCTTAGGGATCAAAGAAATGATTATCTTGTTCGTGGCAATCAATGTAGCTAAAAGTGGAACGTATAGACAGCTGTGTAGAATAGGAGCGATAGGCCCTACAGGACGTGGAAATGCAAATAAACTCCATGATTAGGTAGGCCCATAGCAATCAGCAATGTCCCGATCATAGCTACGAAAAGGAATAAGATTGAATATGTATTAACCACTCGTCCTTAGATAGCTCACTGGAACAAAGAAAGATAGTCACTACTCGTCCTTAGATAGCTCACTGGAACAAAGAAGCACAGATCGTAGGACTTCGCACTTGGTATAGGCAGATCAGGGGCCCGCCTAAGGCGTAAAGAACATAACTCTCTCCGGTATAATGATCAACGAAAGCCAAAAAGCACAATGGATTCTTTATATAGGCTTGCTTGGAAGAAAGAAAAGATAGCCCAAAGCAAGCAGATACGAAGCTCTCTATAGGAACGGGCCCTACACGAGAAATCAGTTGAAAACGGAAATAGGCAAAGCACATCCTACACAGAATACCTTCGTCAGGAGGGCAAGAGATAGCTTTACTTCACTGGGAGCAAGCGTAACAGCGTAGGCATAATGTGCAGAACTAGTATGAATGAGGGAGTGCTGCTCTGGTAGTATCAGATCTGCTAGTGGATTTACAGTACCTTGGCGCGAGGAGGCGCACGGGGCGAGGCACGCCTTCGGTTCGGTCCTGAGAGCAGTAGGAATGTCGAAGAATTAGGTTCGTCAGGCTCATCAAAGGGGCGACTGAGTCGAGACCCCCTAATAGTCAGTCAGTCTTAGGAACTTCTTAGGATGTATACCAATCTTCTTAGGATGTATACCCTTATTTCGGGGTTTTGCAATGGCAGAGATTAGGAACTTATTTCGAGCCATAGGTAGGAAACGGATTCATTCATATCCTGGCGCGTAGAAGCGGGAACTCCTCTTCTACCCCGGCACACGTTCGGATTATTGACTAGAAAGAAAAGCCTACTGACAAAAAAGAAACGATTTTGCAGCTAACTAAAAAGAATGAGTAAGGCTGTTTACTCCAACTGTGAAAGCTATTTCTTAATTGACAACCAACCCTCTTTCTCTTTCACTTCGTGCTGTGCTCTTAACTAACCATGCATGTGCGGGTACGATATCTAGGTATGATAGGAGAACGGTCAGAAACATAATAATGAGCGGGGACTGATAGAACAAGGTCACTAACCAGAATCAGGTAACCAGCCCTAGTGCTCCATTCAGCATTTCTATCTTTCGAGGCCATTCTCCAAGTGTTGAAACCTATGTTATGTTTAACGACTAGCCAAGCGTATACTAAGTCCTTTTTAGTCTGACCTGAACTACCATAAAGATGTTAGGCGTCAATGAACTAGAGGAGCTTACAGGATAAAAGATGGGGAATTTCCCATAAAACAACAGACCAAGCTTATACTACAAACGCAAGACTACAAATAAACTCAATAAAGATACTCGTAATGGTTGTTAACAAGTCCAGTATTCAAGGCGGTAGGGAGCTCAAACTAGTGCATTTGCAACCCTATTCTAGGGGGGCGAGCTGAAGTTGGGACAGTAAACCCATATTGGGGCAATAACAAGTGCTAAAGGGAAGTTTACTATGACCGATCTTCTCTAAGAGCATCCCTTTCCTTTGAACCGCGGGCAGCTTACCCTATTAAGTAAGTCGGAAACCCTGAATTGAACTTACGCAGTCTGCCTCTTGCTCTACTTTCTGGATTTCTTGATTTCTTCTATAGAATCTATTTGTTCTAGTGGTTGTTTGGCGGTAATAACTCTAAAACAGTGGAATAAAATAAATGAAAAAACTAGAAACAAAGAGAGATTTCTCCTGAGGAGGAAGCTGTGCCAAGCCAGTATAGTAGCATCCCCAGTGGAATCAGTATTTGTTTATAGAGGCATAGGAACGATAGGTGGGTAGGCGAGTTGAAACAGCCTACTTAGTTACCGCAACCACTAGTGGCATTAGTTTCATCTGAAGTAACAAACAGGGGAGCGGAGGGGTTGGTTCACTCAAAACTTGTGTCAATTCAATCTTATAATAATCAATAATCACAGATAGAGACAAACAGAAAGGAATTGCTAGAACTTATCATTCTGATATTTCTATTTCCACTCCGGGTAGTGCGGATTCTATTTCTTACCTTTCCTACCTAGCCTCAGAGCCTGTACTTGACTCTGCCCCGAAACAGACTAAAGAGGCCTCCTAGTGATCTTAGGCCAATAACGGAACTTTCTGACCTACTTGTTGGGCCTGGGCCTGGCAATACTGTTCGAATAGACCCTCGCTCATGATTCAGTAGTAGCTTATCGACTTGTCCCTTCAGGTAAAGAATTCCACTCAACAAGCAGAGACAGAGTAGTAAGAAAAAGAGTTCAGTTAGTTCAGGTTGGGTTGGGCAATATGGAGTTATTCCTCTGACTTATTTGTTTGATGCTACTTCCCTATATTCTGATATAAATAACACTGGATCATACCTCCATTCTAATGATACTGAGTTTGGTTCTAATACCCGAGCAGGAAAGGAATGAAAAGCACTAGGCGTAGAATGAAAACAAAGGTAAATAAGGACGAAGCTGACGAGCGATACTCTAGCTCTAATTTCGAATTGTTAGTCTTATAGGAAGTAATGGGCAAAGTCATACTTAAATACAGTAGCAGAATAGACAAATACGGATGTTAGATGAGTAGCGGCAGAGTGAACTAAAGGTGATTCAGACTAAAAGATAGAAGTGCCAAGCGAAAAACCAGGATAGTAGACCTAACAATCGAATTCAAGAAGAAAAGTCAGTAGTTAAAGAAAGAAAGTGTGGATAGTCAGCCTTGTTCATTTGATCGGGGAGGAACTAGCTCCCAAAAACAGGACTTGGCGGTCGAGAACTCCTACGCTATGAACTCGCTACCGTGCAACACAAACAAAGCACTTGGTTCAGGCCTACTTATTAATGAAAAAACAGGGTGGATGAGGACAAGTAGACAAGTTCACCTTAGCAAGACCAAACAACAACTTCGGTGCCAACTGTAAACTTAAACAAAAGGAACTCTATGACAACTAAGGTGCAGCCAATCACCCTACTCTGGAAAGCCAATCACTACACCAGGCTATCCTAACTCTGAACTTACCGCTTCATCGCCAACACACCTTACCTTACTTTATCACAGCAGATTCTCTTACATCTGATCTGGTCGACTAGGATTCAAGTTGACTTACCTACTTACGGCTACTCTGCATACAAATACTAAACGGCTACTCTGCATACAAATACTAAACTCGTGCTGTTTCTCGCAAACCCTGTAAGGGCTCCAATAGGAGTTTCTACGCGTCAGTGCCGCTACACTCTTGGAGTCTTCCTATCCTGTTTCTAAGTGTATCTTATAAGCCCTAAAATCCTAATTGAACCCGTGAGCCCGCCTATGGTTGTTTGTCACCAAGCCTTACTTACAGCCCTGGCACTCCGAACTCCCCAGCTACTATTCCCACACTCCATTCTTTATCTCCTGATCTAACTTCTGTATAGAGCCCCCATCCCATAGCTTGGTCTATATCTCCTTCTGTCTTTCTGAGTTATTGTTCTTACTCCTTCTGTCTTTCTGAGTTATTGTTCTTACTACCCCCGAGCTTTGATTCTGACTCACTAGGTGTAGTATCGCCCTTCCGCTACTGATATAAAAGCTTGCTTTGCTTGATGCTTTTCTTGTATGTGATAGTTGGAGTATGCCTCTCCTTCACTTTAGTCTGATCCCTATACAACTAAGTATTGAACGGGTGCTCTTTATTCTGTAGCTATTGTAGACGATCTTAGATTTGAGTACTTCCCCTCACTGTTGAGTCTGGCTTTACTGCTTTTTAGTGTCACTGCCCCACCTAAGCAGTCTCACCTGTCTCTCGTTCTGTTACTCCGGATACGACTTAGAGCATCTACTCATATAATAAAGAAGAAGTTTCTCCAGTAATAGAATCAATACAGGAATAGAGAATATAAGTGGAAAGTATCAGATCACCCAGGCAGTATGAGAATGGAACGGCGTAGTCAAAGAATGGAACGAGGAATGGGATGAAGTGCTTGTGTTAAGCAAGTAGTAATTAGAGAACCTTTGTATACTTGTCCCCTCCTAAATGATATATTATCTTATTAAGGATTGAGTTTAGAAAGAGAGAAGTCAACTCTATTCTGTAATTCCTCCCTTTGATACAGAAGCAAGAGAAGGATAAGAGTGCATTCTGTATTTGAAGCCTGAGTGAGATGAGCTGAGAGCCGAATGCAGTTATTAGTTGACAGCTTAGCTAGTATCAAGAAAAGAAGCCGAATCCACTATCGAATCTCATGCCTACGGAGCTACGCGCTTAAGGGAAGAAAAAGAATCCGCAGGAGCTAGAGAAGGCCATAACACATAATTCGGGAAAGAAATCCAGTACATCTACTCGGTATTCCACTAGAACAGGACCACTCGAACAGCAGCTAGAACTAGAGCTATTACTGCAAAGGCAAATAAGTATTACTAGCACTAACACGCGGACAAGCCACTCGGGATGCTAAGGGGAAATCGAAGTTATTGTTGAAAGAGAAGAAAAAGAGCCCGTCTGGCGAACAACAGAATGAAACAAGTAAGAGTGAAATACCGGTAGTAAGTAACAGAATGCAACCAGTAAATCCAAGAATTAGACCAGTAAGTGTAAGGCTAAGACACCTAACCTAGTAAGCCCACCGATTCCCTATGATTAGTACTAACCCAGTATGACCAGAACTCTGTATCTAGTAGTAAGTTCATTCTTTGCCAGTAGTTGATAGTTGCTAGTTTCATTCTAGAGTCCAAAGGCTAAGGCTTAACCGAGTCTACGGAATTCATCTCTTGGGGCAGCAGACTTAACTCCTTCTTGCTTAGCTCTTGTCTAGTAGTGAGTTGGTTCTGTAGTTTGATGGTCAATCCTTCATTGAGTACGCCTAATAGAGCTTCTCATTTCTTTTTTAGTGGAGTTATTGGCTTTACCTTACCTTGTTTGTTCTTTTGTTGTAGTAGAGAGAGATTCGAGCTAGTGCCTGTGTCTAAGGCTTGTTAAGTAGACCAGAATACCCTTCCTTATGTATAGCTTTCAAGAGTAGAAAAGAAAAGATGTTGTTCAAGCAAGATCTGGCGCTGTATCAAGATCAAGTACTGGGCCTTAAGTTGAAGCGCAAAGTCTAGGTTTTTTCAAGAGGAGGATCTGATCTACCCGTTGCGCGTAAGGAGTCATTTGTTTCAAGTGTAGTTATCAAGTCATCCTATAATAGAAGCCGAATGCTCATCTAAACTAGCCACTCCTAGAAGATCTACCCGTTGCGCAGGGGAACCAGACCAGTAAGTTTATAGAACAAAATCAATTTCTCGGGGGAAAGTTGAAGAGTGGAAATTAGAGAGAAGAAGCCTAAGCACTTGTTCTTGTCTTGCCTGTTGCGGTTCAATTGTAAGCTGCAAGTGGGGCAAGTGGGTAAGATTCCATAGATTATAGATATAGTGGAAGATGACTTCTTTCTTTATATAGCCTACGCAAGCGGTTCTGAAAGGGGAGTGAAATAGTAAGCTGCAAGTGAGTTAAGGATAAGTAGGAAATGCAAGTGTAGTTGCTTGCCTACTTGCACTGTGTTTTAAGAATGAAGTTATAGGAGCCGAATTCCGTTAAGTTCATAGTTGCCATAGGTAAGAGAAGCAGTCTAAATCAGGTGTTCCAGTTCAAGTTACAGGGGTTTAGTCAATAAAGAATCCTATGATCTATTTTAAAGAGATAGATTCCACTCGGCTTGCACTTACTTATTAAGGGTTCCAGTTCTAAAGTAGTCTCCGAGTTCTGTTTGTTTCAAGAACTTTACTTGTTCGATACTAAACTTGCCAATCTACAGTGTTATTACAAGCTACTAAGGAAGGTAGAAAACGAATGGACTGGACGCTTAGACGGGTTTTGCCCTTTACCAGAGAATAAGTATGGGAGATAAGCCTCATTGAGTTATACAAGGCCGGGCCGGGTCAGCTGCAAGTAAAGAAGCTAGGCTACGAGAATGAAGCCTTATTGCCTTTACATCAAGGTCTGCGGGAAGTGAATGAGTTGAATCGCTAGTTTCAAGCTTAATCGTAAGGCTCTGTTAGTAGATGAGAAAGCAGCTTGTTTCAATTGGATTTCCCAGAACTTTATTTCCCATAACTATGCTTAACTCGCACGCATAGAGACGATACCTTTGTACACCAATTGCTGCATCCCTTTCGCCAACAACAGTAATGGAACTTTCATCCGCCCTTCACCCGGACTTTCTACTTAACTCGAGTCGACAACACCTTTACTTAAAACACTAAGGAGACTATACTAATACTAGAGCACTTCAACAAAACTTGAAACAAAGAATTCTTGACTTACTTGCTAATACTGAGGCAACTCCCCTTCCATGATACCGAGTCAACTAAGAATGAATTACTACCCTTATCCAGTGGAGGCAGACCGGGCGCTAAGCAAGACTACTAGCCAAGTGAAAGCCAACAACTCACAATCTGGTGTTGCAAGAGAAGTCTCAAGAGAAAGTGGAGTATCTCGTCCTGGCCCTACAGCTCGAAGTTAAGTGTTTGCGGGAGCTAAACGAAGTGTA